CAACTGTGTTCAGTCTACTAATGAGTCCATCAGAGGCATTCTTTATTTCCATTGCAGTGTTTTTAATCTCTAGTATTTTTGGGGGGGGGGGAAATTCTTTCTTAGAATTTCCATCACTCATCACTCTGTTTACATTGCCCTTCTGTTCTTGCATGTTTTTTCCCCCCATTAAAGCCCTTAGCATATTAAGCATGGTTTTTAAAAATTCCTGGTCTGATAATTCCAACATTACTACCATATCTAACTCTTGTTCTCATGCTTGTTCAGACTCTTTAAACTTTTTTTTTTTTTGCCTTTTAGTATACTTTTTTGTTGTTGAAAGGCAAACATAACATCCTAAGCAAAAGGAACTGTGATAAATAGGCCTTTAGTAAATAAGTGGTAAAATGTGGAGGCAGACGTGTTCTACAGTCCTGTCATTAAGTCTCAGTTTTCTGATAAACCTGTGCCCCCAGACTGTGAACTTCACCAGTGCCTCTCAGGTTTTCTGCCCCCCTTAAGTGAAAAAGATGAGGGAAAAGGATTGGAGCTGAGTGCTAGAGCTGGCTGCAGTTAGATATTTCCCCTCACTCAGGTTTTTCAGGGTTTGATAAAACCCTAACACATAGTCTCTGGTAAAATAGTTTCCCCTTGTATTTTTTTTGTATTAAAAATAATACAATGTTCTGGTATATTTCCAAATTATTCCTTTTCCTCTTACCCTGCTGGAAGCACAAGGTCATTTTTCTCAGATATTCAGTGTGAAGACTTGATATAGCTCCTGGAAGTAAAACTCATTAAAGTGTGCAGACTCCTCCATATGACTGGGTCCCCTTGGAGTTTTTATTTTTATATTTCTTTATTGATTGATTTTGGTGACTGACCAGTACAGGAATCCAAACCCATGACCTTGGGGTTGTAAGGCTGCACTCTAACCAAATGAGCTAACTGCCCCCCTTGGAGTTTTTAACATTCAGAATTGTCCACATTGAGCTTCCAGCAATTCATTAACTATAGCTAAGGTTTTCCTACCCTGAACTGGTTCCCACAGAGGTTTTTGCTCATAGGTTTCTGCTCCAGTAAGTTGTGATTCTCTGTATCTGCCTGTCTGGTTCTCCAATGTTGGGGACAGTAGTTTTCCAACAGACCTCAATTATATGAGAGATTTAAGAAGAGTTCTCGATTTTTCAGTTTGTTCAACTTTTATTCGTTGCTAGGAAGGAGTGGCCATTTCTATGTTCCTTACATGCTGTACTGGAAAACAGAAGTCTCTATTTGTTCTCTAACAATTTAAAACTTCCCTGAGAAATCATCATGCTAGATTTTTTTTTTTATGTTTATGCCACTTCATTTATTTAAACTTTTGAGTGGACTTCCCCACTCCCATACTAATACTCCCATATTAATACTCCATCTTAATGCATCTGGAGATTATTGAGTCATACAGAACAATAAAGAGATCTAACCTTATTTTCCAATTGCCTGTTATCTAATGCTGTCATAAATAATCTTATCTTTCCCCCAGTTTTGTAATTTCTCTTTATAATAAATTAAATTATTATATTTTTCTGTTTTCTGTATTTCTCTTTTGTTCTACTGATTTGGTACATACTCCACAGTCAAATAAAAGTTTCGAATTTATTCTGATTTTAAAATACATATTTACACTTGGCTGTGGAGTTTCTATCCCCTCATCCCTTGTTATTTTTCATTTCCAAATTTTGTCTTATTTTACTAGCTTAATCTTCCTAACAAATTTTGAAATAATTTTTAACAATTCTTCAATTGCAACTGTATTAAATTGACAGATTAATTTCATGAGTCATGAATATTTTTAAGCTAAATCAAATGTTGCATCAAATTAGGGATGTTTTTAGTTGTGATCAACTAAAAACCCAAGTTACACTGGCTTAAGACAATACTGTAGACTAATAGCCTTTAAAAATCCAGCAGTGAGGTGGGCTTCTCCTGCAGCTCAAACAGGGTTCTGGCTCAGTTTCTCCATGCTTCTCTGGGCTGTGCCCTCTCCCTGTGCGCTGTCTTCCTTCATTCACAAGATGGCTGCCAGCAGCAACCTCAACCACGTGTTTTATTGTTCACATCCATGCAGAAGTAAAAGCGCTACTCCTCATAAACATCTAACAGAAGTCCTGAGCTAGTCACCATGGCCAGGGGAACTGAGGTTACATTCACTGTACACATGCCCAGTCAGAGCCCACTTTTGGATCTGGAGATGGAGTCATTCCAACCCAAACTAGTGGGCCACTACAAAATAGGGGGAATTAAAATAAATGCTGGGACTAACCATGATCTACACTGCCTTTAGCCCAATGAAAACTTCTCATAATTTAAAAATTTCCCCAGACATTTCAAATTTCTTATAACATAGCAGTATACACCTGTTTAAAGTACGCATACACTTATTCCTGCAGATGTGCACACACATGTACACAGTCTATGTAAATTCTCACAAGGCCCAATAACTAGAACTAAAAGGGGAAATGGCTATATCAAAGTAAGGGAATATACTGGCAAACTAGAAGTGCAATTAATATTATTTAATATTATAATTGAACATGTAATTCATTGTGCTAGTTAGAAAAATATACTTATATGCCTTACTGCTCACCAGCTACACAGATAACTGATGCCTACCACCTCTGTATTTATTCAAAATATTCCTTTTAGTCTATTTCTCTTCAAAGAAACTACTCTTGAAATCTTATTTAGTTTTTATCAATGTTTTATTATTCACTGCATCATCTATATAAAATATTTTCTTCAGTTGATGTTTGCATGTAATTTTTATTTGGTCAGGGTACACATACATATGCTGCTTCTCCCAAATGTTCTGTCTTCTCAGAGACAAGGCCATATTCTAGACTAATCTGCCTGTTGAACCCCCTACCAAGGAATTTAGCAGAGACTACTATATATTAAGAATTACTCAATAAATATTCATCAAGTAAAACACATCATCAATTATAGAAAATGTATTCTGGATAATTACATACGGCAAGGAGACTATTAAGAATTTATGAACCTTATATTTCTCCAAAGTAGATTTCTACTGCTCCCATAACATGCCTTGCCACTCATTCCTTCGTTGTTTTCACCTTTGAATTAACTCAATTGAACAATCATTTATTTAGAAGATGCTAGGTGCTCAGGATACAAATAGAGCTAATAAATTACTTTGTCCTCAAAGGAGTTATAGTCTGGCTACTTAATCTCCCTTCTCAGAATGTCCTCCCTCCCCATGTTCTACCTATTCTAACCCTACCCATTCTTCAGAGTCCATAATGAATTTTACTTCCTCCATCAATCCTTCCTAGGCTATTTTATTCTCAATGTTTCTTCTCTCTGCAGAAATCTTAGCATGTAATATGTATGCATCTAATTCTTACTTAATCTTCATTAATTTTAATGTAGCTGTGAATCCAAACTTTTTCTGAGTGGCACAGGGTTGCAAGAAGGAATAGCAGACATTGAGTTCAGCTTAAAAGGAAGGAAGGAAAATGAGCTGAGAAAGATTGGTCTTACTGGAAGGAAGCCAGCTCAGGCTACTAAGACAAACTCTTCCATATTTAGGAGCTGCTAACGTAGAAACACCACAATCTCAGCCAGCTTTGTCAGGGGAACAAGGTGTCATCTGGGAGGAAAGGTCATGGGCCAGCCAACTTGTTTTAAAAGGACAGATTTACCTTGATCACAGCCACAATCAACCTGGTTATTATACCCACACCCCCACTCTTCCTCTTGCTTGATGAGTTCTAAGATCTCTTCAACAAGGTTGGGATGGGGAGCAGGGAGAGGATGTTTATTTTACAATTAGATACTTAAGCTAAGTGCATGGTTGAGTTAATACTTCACTGAGACGAAGTTTCAACTAAAGTATAATTAAGTTATCAATCAAAAATGCAAATCATATATTATTAATTTATTTCTCAGCTTTATTGCAAAGCAGGAAGGAAGAAAGGAAGCGAGAGAGGTAGGAAGAGAGTGGCTCTTAGGAGACCAAAGGTATCTGACGAGGAGGAACACGTGAACAGCCCCACAGGGATGTAAGGAAGAAGCTAGGGTCAGGAAAGACTCAGACTTCACCTAGGATTGGCTCTATTCACCTGCACATGTGCTGAGACAAGTAGAAGCTGCAACTGACCGGTTAGGATCGGGGAGCTAATAAAGCAAAGAACTCTACTTGGTAGGATTTAAGCTTTTCCTTATTACTTATTTCTTAACACTAGTAGTTTCCTACAGAGGAGCTGTATTCACAGGCAATTCATAAGAAATATAAGAAATACAAATATTTGTCATATTCATTTTCTTCCATTTCAAAGTTAAGAATCTTTTCTTTTTAATTTACTGTAATTGTGTCCCTTTAATAGTTTTCCTAAAAAAAAAGAAAAAGAAAAAAAGTTTTCCTTTCTTTTAAAATATACATTCTTTGGGAAAATTGTTGAGGTCAATATCATAGAATAAAAATCTATTTTCTTACAAAATGACCCCTAGAAACTTTGAATACAGAATACTACATGAAGTAGACCATTGGTGTGACTCAGGGTGGCATATCTGGACTTGTCCTTTAAGTGAATTTTAATATGGAAGACACTACAGAAGATGACCACTGCCAAAAGTGATTTTTAAGTCACTGAACATTATATTTATCATTCAGAAGAGGACTGTCATTCTCAGAATAAAACCAAAAGAACATTTTCTAAAAAAAAATTAACATGTACAAGAAAGTTTTTAAGCATTTGGAAAACATACTCTGTGTTCACCACAAATTAGTGCTGATTTGTAAATTTCCACTGTAGAGGAGTTTCATATCTTGAAATGAAAATTTGTGGTTACCAAAAATCCGTATTTGAAAACTATTTCTTAACTGTGCAGAAAAGAATTCAATGAGGGATATTTTCACCATGTTTTAAACTCGTAAAAATTTTAACAACCATTACATCAAGGAAATTATTTTTTAAAAAACCAGAAACTCTGAAAAAGCCCTTTCCATTCAAGAAAAAGTCAAGCTAAATATTTATTGATTGTACTTCAATCATGTAGTAACTATGAAACAGTAGATCAGAAGTATAGTGATCTTGAACAAAAATAAAAATTTAGTGTCAAAAATCTACAGGATTCAAACAGTTTTATCTCATCACCTGTATATGTCTTCTAACTGCAGATCAAAATCTTGAAGTTTCTTTTGAAATTTGTCTGTAAAGTTATAGAACTCATTAAGGATTGAAGATTTCAAATCAGGGTATGGACATTCCAAACTTTCTAATTCCATGGGCAATTCACTAAGCAGGTTAGTTTTTTCTTCTGAAAAATGATCTAGTATCTAAAAAAAAAAAAAAAAAGGATATGATTATTTTATTAAATATAAAGGGTAAATTGATAAACAAATAAATTACTAGCTTTATCACACTTACTTTCATACTCCAGTCTAAGAGATCATTTTCTATTTTCTGTTGCTCCAGGACAAGTCTTTCAAAGACAGCTTTCAATTGTCTTTTTACAGAGTCAACCTATAGGACATTTGGAACCAAGTAATAAGCAAATTGTTACAATTCATCCAACATTTATATTTTAACACACCAGGATTATTCTCAAAAGCCAATAAGTGGTGAAAAATTACACAAGGGCAAGTCCCTTTTACTGACCTGTGGAGGGGAGATAAAGAGATGCCAGCCAGGCAGTGCTCATCAGACAAAGGAGCCTCAATGAGGCTTCCAGACACTTAGTCCAAAAATGGCTCAGAAAGTACAGTGTGGTCATAGCCACTCTGCGCCCACATTTGGAATTTGTCTGTGGGAAGGCTGAGAACTTTCCAGGTTGTCTCTGCTTTACCACTCCTTCCTTCCCTTCCATCTTTGTCTCTAATCCCCAGTTGGGCATGGATTTAAAAATTTTTTATTATTAATTATGAAAGCAATATAACAACATCACAAAACAACTGAAAAAGAGAGAAATAAAATAACCTAAAAACCTACACCTAGAACAACTATACTCATGGAGATTATGTGCTATTGAGCGCAGGCAGTTAACAGCTGATGAAAGAAATACCTGAGAAAGTATCAGAAGGAAGTAAGTGATGTAAAAACAGTGTGGTATGATAGGGAGTGACTGTGGCTTCTCAGGGCAGGTCTCTCAAAGGAAGCGACATTTAAGCCAAGACCTAAATGACGGTAAAGGCTGTCAGTGGGACAGAGGAAACAGCCAGAGCAAAGGCCTTCAGACAGAAATGAACTTGGCATGTTGGAGGAACAGAAGGCCAGCATCAGTGTGACTGAGCTCTTGTGGGCAAGGGTGAGTGTCAGGTAGCAGATGCAATTGAAGAAGCAAGAAGGGGCTGGATGGATACTAGGACTTACAGGCCAGCAGGAGCTCCTGGGGGATTTCAGCAATGAGATGACTTGATGCTCCTGCACTGGGGTAGGATCCCAGAATGCACTGGGAGGAGGAGTCAGAATGAAAGCACAGAGACCAGTTATGAGGCCACTGTAACATTCCAGGCAAGAAATGAGGGTGCTTGGACAGATTCAGGTGTATGTTCAAGATACTGAGTAGACGGAATTTGCTGACCTCCTATTTAAATACACATGACACATGTTTTCTTTTTATCCCGAACTGTTCTAGTTGGAACAAAAATGAAATATTACATTATCAAAAATAAAGGCAATTTACTGACCTCTTGCAGCACTTTCACTGAGTTAAACTCAACATGTGGGTCTGAATGCTGTAAGGTGTGATGCTGTCTGTACTTTAGATCTGCTCTCAACTGCTGAATAGGATTTATCACATTTGTAAAATATCTGCACCATTGTTCTGATAACTCTTGTTCTATGGTGAAACAAAATTGAATTAAGGAAACAAATTATCATTTTAAGCTTCTTCAGGAACAGGTCTTTAGTGTGCAGATTTATTTTTGGATTTCTTTAGGGAAGAAATACAAACAGCAGTTAACATTAATAGAACATGAAGTGAGTGGCCCATTTTCCTTCTTCAAAATAAAAATCCCCTTTAAACAAAGGATCAAAAAAAAAAAAAACTCACCAAAATCTGCAAGGTCACAAAGACATTTATTTCCAATGTTCTCTTCATTGAGAAAGGATTTTATTTCAGATTCCATTTTATATCTGAAATAGACATGGTCTCAACCAATTATTTTATAATCATAAACATACATATGTGAAAATTTTAAAAACCTGGTAGTAGAAATACTCAGTTTAATGTGGGTTTGTTCACCCATTCATTTATTCAGACCATATACTAAATTCCTAACATGTGTTGGGTACTTGCCAGACCCTGAGATAGAAGTGTAAGGCTCAGGCAGAAGCAACAGCAGGAGAAAAGGCCAGTGCACGCAGGCCCTGGCACTACAACGTGTGGAGAGAGCTCAGGGATTGAGGAAAGTCACTGAAAGATATCCGACTGACCCCACCTGCTCAGATCGGTGTTTCAGAAAGACGGCCAAGGTAGCAAGATGAGGATAGATTGGAAGGCAAGTGAGCAATAGAAACAGAAGATGAAGAGGAGGGGATCAGGTAAACCTGGACCAACATGGGGGTTATTTACAAAGTTGGGAAGCAATGAGATCCCGAACTAGGGAAATGGGAGTAAAAGCATATTTTGTTTTTATATTCTAATAAGAGTAACAAATCATAATGATCTTTTACTATGTTTTTAAAATGTCATTCTTAGAGTAAAACCATAAGCAACTCTAAATGTGCATCCCAAAGTTATAGTTTATCCCTTGCTTATGGTAGAATCAAGTATATCATAGAAAAGAGTTCTAATTTATTATTAAAATATAATATTTAAATGGTATAAAATAAGAAAAGAGCAACAATTACAATACTTTAATATAATGATTATTTTCACTTTTGCAGGTAGGTTTCTAGCCCTGGTCTATGTGAATATATATTTTACATAGTTGCAATCATGCATATTTAACATTTTATATTGTGGGGATTTCTAAATTTTTTTAATGCCATTTTTTCTAGATATTTCTAAATAGTTTTCATAATTATTATCTTGATAGCTGTGTATTATTCCATTTTATGTGTGCCATCATCTTCCAAGCCAATTCACTTAGATGGGACAAGGTTTTTGTTTATACATATAAAGTAGAGGTGCTATTGTAGATGATACTTCATTTGTCTGTTTTTCCAGTGAGTCATTTTTGCCAGAAATATCTTTAAGATCACATTTGAAACTGTTACATGGAAGATGGGTGCATAATCATGGAATTAAACCACAAGTTATTTCAGAACAGATTTGTGTAACCAAAAACATAAACCACCCTGGAAGGATGAAGACCTGTGCTGAAAGAAGACTCTTGAGGGCTCAAAAGCACCCTTCACCAGGCTGGTTTATCTTCAGGTGGTTAGACTGTATAGGTTAATATATCATCCAGACAAATGATTACACAAAAACTTGGGGGCTTCTTTGTGGTACCAGAATGAAATAAGGGAGTAAGTGCCCCTGGAAAAGTGTATCAGAGTCCTCAAGGGATATAGTCTGAGTAAGCATATTACACTTTAGATAAAGTTTTAGATAAAATAAATTTAAATATTAAACATAATTTTACATTTAGAAATTTTGCCTGATTCTCTTTGTACAGACTGCAAAGAATTAAAGTTGGCTAATTTTATTTATTTTTTTTGCGACCTAGGCTAGACCAATTAGATTTCAGGTGATGTGAATGGAACCCTTGGAAAAAAGGAAAAGCGCTCAACTCCAAGGTCACAGAGCACAGGAGTTTACTGCAATTTCTCCAATCCCAGCGCCACACAAACTAGCTTATGTACCTTTGCAAATAATTTTAATTCTCTGAGGCTCAAGAGTCTCGTCTGTAAAATTGGGATAGCAATGATAATACTTTGTCAGGTCATTGCACATATTAAGTGAGAGAAAGCATAAAAAGTAATTAATATATTACCTGGCACATACTAAATTATCCAGTAAAAGTTAGATGTCATTGTAGGCCTTTATCTTCTGCAGGTCTGAGACTCTCAAATGGAGTCTTTTACAGTAAAGCAGAAGAATCTTTTACTTATTAAAAGGGGGTGTAGATATTTAAAGGTTCACACTGACAGAGCTTTAAACTCTTCTGATTTGCTGGTGGTCCCTAAATTCTCCACAAATCTAGCCATTTTTCTAACTCACCAGCTATTGCTATTAGTTTTTAATTTCTTGAACACATATTAAAATTAACCTATATTCTAGAAAACCAAAGAAAAAAATTTTTGGAATTCTTTTTTTTTTTTT